TACTACTGCTCTGTTTCAATCCCATTGGACATGCCAGACACAACTGGTTTAACCATTTACCAACTAAGGGGTAAATGGAAAGATCTTTCACAACTGTTTCCCTGTACCACCTGAAGTGCTGAGCTTCCTTCCAACATCTTGGATGCACCTGTCATAAACACATTGGTCTGGCCTCCTAAGTATCCTGCGCTCCATCTACTTCATCTTTCACTTTCCTTGTGACATCTCATTGTTTTCTCAAACTTCCTCAATCTTTTGGTACTTCTTTTGCCCTTGGACTCATCTTGTTTGCCCAACAGTGCCACAAGGGACACAAACAATATATAAAGATAACCATTCATACCTGTGTCTTCCTCATGCATCCCCAATACCATACAAATGTATACATACAAACACTGTCTCGGTACCACTGTTGTTCTGTAACAACAGTGCTGATTTTGTGAAGTTCTAAATCACAGTCAGCATGACCAATATAAATCCAAGCATTCATAAGGCTCCTTTTTACCTTTTCCACCCATTTTTGGCACACATTGCAACATGTAGACACCAGGCATTTTATTTTTTCTACCTGCACAGCACATCCTGCAGTATGAAATGAGTGAAAAATGACAATACCGCTTCTGCAGGGTTGTGCAGCTATAATGATGAAAGAAGAAAGGTTTGCAGGGACAAGGAAAAATTTTTAGAAGACAATTTGGTATGGTAAGAAAAAAAAAAAAAGACAGACATACTTTTGGGTCCAATGTCTTTTCATCAGGTCCAAGAGGCTGAACAGACACTGGGGACAGTGCTCTTCATTTAACATTTTTTAATTTAGTATTAACCTTAAACCTAATTAGAAGATACGAACAATTGGATTCAGCCTTGATTTAACCCAAAGTAGCCACAAGAAGATGACTTTTTCTACACAAAACTCCAAGTTCCCAACCATAAGTCTTTCTGCTGACTACTAACACTGTCATTACTATGGCACACGTCTTTTTGTGGCCACCCCATTCTTCATATATAATATCAGATCTCATAATTCAGTGTTTCTTCTACAGAGGGTCTCCAGACATAAAAGTGAGGAAATAGCAGTTCCAATGGTGACAGGGCTGCCACTTCCCTTGAGTAGACTTCCACCAGTTAAATGATGCTGGGTTCAAATTATCCAACTGATTGGCAAAAACAGCCCCATCATTTTTTGAGGTTTCTGTAAGAGGTATAGAGAATAATCTACTGATTACAGTGGACTACCACTTCTCCACATCCTTAATTTGATTGTGGTAATCATAAAGCAGCTGTGTGATCATTTTTTCCATCAAAGAAGAGGGCACTGCAGAGTAGCAATCTTGAATTGAAAAAAGGAGACAAAGTTTTGTTTTCTATGAGTAAAACTACTCAAACAGTAAGAATGACTTCTGACCTTTAGCCTGCGGTCCTGGTCTCCACTGCAGAGAGAATTTACAGACACTTTAAAGGTCTTCCAGGCTGGATTTAAGTTATTCATCACAACCTACGAGTGAAAAGAAAGGAAGGGAACCCTTAACATTTGCACATCTCCAAACAGAATGCTAACAAGAGCCACAATTTTCCATACAGTACGTTCACCAGAAAGAGAAGAAAGCAGAGCTCAGCTGGAGCTTTGCAGAACAACATGCATGAGATATGTGCCCTTGAGCAACCTGCAGTTTGCAACACTCCTCCTCTGGAAAGCCCCAGAAAGAAGCACAGGTGGGAAATGGACCCATACACCCATACACAGATCATGCTACAGAGATTGCCCCAAGCACTGCTATGCCTCAGCAGGGGCGTAATTCACAAGGGAAAAGTTGTGGAATACATCCCTGAACTGGAAGCCATGGAAGAGATACAGAACTGGGCAATGGGGATGGGCAGCATCAGTTTACAGACATATGGTCTGCTTTGCCAGGAGGACTTTATGGGATCCATAACAGACAGGCTCATAACCCTGAATACCTGCCACAACTCTGCCCTGTATAGCTAAATGCTGCTTTTTAAGACAGTGCCAGTCATTACCATGGAAGCAGTAACGACACTGAGACATAGGAAACAAATGTAAAGCACCCAGACTACAAATCTCTTTAGTACCAGCAACCTGGGAGGAGGTGGAGAAGATGCAACATAGTATTAATGGGAAAATATGATACTGTCTGTAGCATGGTTTGGGCTAAATATAATATGCATAACTCCTGACCTTCAAACAGAGTATCTGCCTGTTCAATTAAACTTGGACCTTTGGCTTCAGTACTATCTTCCCTTACTCTCCTGTGCATAAGTCAAGACCTGATACCCATTAGTCAATAATTACACAAGAGATAGAAGTGTTTTTAAATGTGGGTGCTTGTGATACCCTTTGTGACATGGGAAGCATAAACTATTCCTCCTGACAGCCCACCTGTGTCCTTGGAAAATAAATCCAACCCTATTCCTTACCTCAGTCCTGTGAACAAGTTGTTGGGTTGCATCATCATTCATTCGGAAAATCTCCAGAAAAGGATCAGATTTGCTGAAAAAATCCTAAAATAAAATATAGGACAGGTTACTCTTGAGACTTCTTTTTCTTTGAGCTTTTCAGGCACTGGTTCTTCCCTGACTGCTAATGAAAAAGGAGAGCCAGTGTAGTTTTAGTGAGACCTCTTGATGTCTGTCAGTAATATTTCATTCTTGTCCTTGTTCCACAAGGATTTCCATGGCACTGCTGCTGTTCTCAGATTGACTATTCAGTCATGGCAGGCAGAACTGTAAAATGTTGTTTTACAGCCTTTTCCCTTCTTACACCCAGTCCAGATTCCTGAGCTTTAGCTCCTTCACCCACCTAGCTTGTTTCTGTCTTTCTCCATACTTGTTCGGTCTTCTGACATCAGTTTTATCATGCAAGGACCTTTGAAGCATATTCTACAGTGGGGTTGAATTTCACACTATTCACCCACCATCACAAAACAGAAGGTAATTGGCCAAGACATTGTGCTGCTACCAACTAACACAAGTACTGGCAAGATGGATCACAGAAGGTTAGAGAAGCAAGTTGTCTTTAGGATGTGATAACATGGCCCATGTTAAGATGGCAAGCAGAGCAGAGGAATGCAGAAAATTACTTGATACCTCTAAGTACAAGCAAGTCTGTGACAGACATCGAGGTTCACATACTCACTGCACCACAGAACACCTTCCCCTCGTCTTGCATCCAGCTAACAATCCTGAGTGTTCTTACACAAACCTAAATTAAGTTGCTTTCTATTGCGTTGCTGCAGTCTGGCCACAGCCTCTTTTGTTTCAACAACGTCTCATTTCTTCTGCACGTGCTGGGGGACAGAAGAGTAGCTGGGTGTTAGCCCTCCACTGCTGGAGGGGGAAAGCTGGCTAATTCAAATTTCTATCTGTGCAATGCTGCAAGAGCAAGATTAAAATGGACTCAGCCCATCTGCTGTAGTTTCAACTCCCTTCTTCATTTTCTTTGTCAAAAGGGCCACATGATTAACTTTATGCATATGAATATTATTATTTTCTATAGACCATATCCAAAACCACAGTCCTCCACATCAGTTTGGGGAGGTGACGAATTCTGTTTCCTCTCCCGGTGTTTCTATAAAAGCATAAGTGTAAAAATGACTGTAATACACATCGTTCTACAATTTTCTCCTCACCAAATGCCCACCATACTTTTTTTACTAGCTGGATAGCTGTTGGGATGGGAACAGGTTTGGATAAGATGCTAGCCAAAGTCTGGGCACATCATTTTGGTCAAATTTGTCTTTAGGGCATATTTACAATTCCACAACTGCAAAACAAGCAAAGAAATCAGGGCTTTGAAAAGGGACACCAGAATTTGAATGTCTGGAGAAGGAAGTGAATCCCTAAGGACCACAAAGACTTGGGCAAGGCTCAAGCAGCCTAAAGTCTTTTCTATGCCCTAAAGATGACACCTATCAATGTTGTGTTCAGAGTGCTGTTCTGTGACTCATCTGTTTCTTTTCCTACTAGAGAAAAGACAACGGTATGTTTAGAAACTGATGCAAAACAGGTGCACGTGTTATTTGTTAAATCTTATCACATGGAGCTCTAAACAGCAAAGTCCTATGTTTGCCCATTATTTACAATTACAGGGTTAAAGGACATTTAATGTAAGAGGGTGTAGAACCAGCACAAAACCCAACAAAGTCTGTAACTTCAGAGTTACTCCTCAAGGCCCTGATGTAGATTTACTATCTGGACTCCATTCAGCACTTGAAACTGCTAGTAAATAGGGGGGCTTTGATGATCAAATTCTGCCAGATCACTACTGCATAGCAAAGAGAACAAGCAGAGAGTGAGGGTGCGGGTTTAATCATAGTGACACCAAAATCCAGAGTGCATAGGGTTAAAAAAGGCTGAGCTGCCTCTTCTCACACATAAGTATACTGCTTGAAGCTGAGTAAAAGCTTAATGTTAACAGATTCTTTATCAAACATAAGTTTGATAAGAAAAGTTATCTGGAAGAAAGCATGTCAAAATGATACACCCGAAGAATGCACCCTGAAGTGCAGAAAAATTCAGAAAGTAAACTAGGATTCCATGTAAGACTCAAAATACAGTGTCATTCCCAGCTGAGTATCTTGAAAGATGAAACAGCAAATCAGCACAAGGGAGGTAATTTTTAACATCTGTTTTTAACTACCAAGGCAATACCACCTAAAGGGAAAGATTTTGATGCCAGATGATAGCTTATATCACCCTTCCTTCAAGGCAAAACCAAAACCTAATTCCTTTCAGAATGAAGGTACAAACAAAAAATCCTTCAATATTGACGATGCTTCATAATAACTCGAAACTGATATGCTGAAGAAACATTTTATTTCATAGCTATTAACGTTTTCAAAGCTTTTTGGTTGTTGTGCTCAATCTAACAGCTTTGCATTATCTCACAAGAGCATCCTATGAGAGAAGAATAGCAACAATAAAGGTTTAATGTTTTGATATTTTACTAATGTTTAAATGATTAATGTAATGCATTTGCTAGTGATATAACACACATTGTTCTTTCAGTATGTGCAGCAGTTACACAGTAAGAACACAAGTACATGGCTTAAACTTTAAAAATTTAACTACCTCCGCTTCTGAGCACCTAGTTTGACATGTCTTTTAGTACATTAATTTTCTGAGCATGACACTTTAAAATTCAGGTTTGGGGGTCAAGTCAAAGGTCCCTCAGAAAAAGGCTGAAGTAGCCAAAAGACACTAATAATTTTGAAAATTCTTCATCAGCAAGACAGGGCATTTAAGGATTTTTTTTTTTTTTTTTGTAAATATATAAAAAAGCAATATTAGCTTGTATTTTGTAGACATTTTCTGGAGAATCTTTCCCAAGCAATAACTGCCTCCCTCAGAACAGGAAAAGCAGTTTGCCTGCCTCAGCGCTCATAATTTATTATAGCTATCATAAAAACGTAGCTGCTTGTTATGGTAATTGTGACACAGCTATTAATGCAATAGAACCTTTCCAAAAGTTATTGTTCTACTGTGAAGTGTTCTCAGTGGATCTCTTGAAACAAAGATGTGCCATCTGAGCTGACTGGGCTTCAATAAAACATGAAAATGCAGTTACACCTTCCAAACAAGCACTGCAATAAAAAAATATACCCTGTATCTCTGCAAAGTCAGTTAACTAAAGGAAACTTTCATACCTGTGACTTTCCTACAATTTTTTACTGAATGTTTCAGCTACCCCTCCAGGAAAAATCGAGTCAGCTTTACTTGTTTTACAGCCTCCCTAAAACTCTTTATGTGGGGAGAGTAAAAAAAAAACAACAAACATATACTGCCTGTTAAATATACCAACGAATTTTGTTTAATTTGCCAAAAATGAGTTGTTCACACTTTTTTCCTTAGTGGAGGAAACTCATACAGTTAAGGACCACAATCTGGACTGTCTCAAATTTTCCTTTAAAGGGTAGAGGAAGAAAATTCTTGTCCATTTAAGATGGTTACTGATGGTAACAGATGGAAAGATTTTTTTTTATTATTTTTTTTTAATCCTTAAAGCACACCCAGAACCACCCCCCACCCTTCCTTTATCGCCAAGTTGTGAGACATCAGGATTCAACTTGTCTTCTGCCACCCTACAGCTGCCACTGCAGGAATCCCTGGGGTTACAAAGGTGATTCTGCGTAGCAGAACATGAACGATTGCTCCCACAGGCTTCCTCTGTCTTTCAGGAGACTCCAAGGCCAGTTCCAGCCCTCAGTTGCTTCTCTGATGTTACATCTCTACTCAGGTCTCCACTCCTCTGAGTAAGGAGAGGCATGCAAAATCATGCTTAAAGATTTTACAAGACAGGTTCTTCTCAATTCTCTGATGTTTTTTTCGGACCTTTATGTGACATTGGAGCACTTGTGCTTTTTCACCAATGGCTGAACCATGCAATTTAAGTAATTTCAAACCTTAACAGCAATAATTACTAATAGTGCCTTGCATCTACTGACATCAAAGTTCATTATAAGCCATACCAAAAGCCATAACTTTTTCTTAAAAACAAGGTAAGCCAAGGTTCAGCCAGGTTTAGAGCTATGGCTCTAGCTGGAGGAGACTGAAAGATTTCTTTCAACTGTAATTAGCTTTCAGTGATTTTCATCAGCTGAAGACAGGAGTTTTGATTCAGATAACACATGATGAGTCATTGCCTGAACTGCACACTGCATCATCCAGGAATTTTTTAATAGATGAAGCCCACCTTGACTGGACATGCTAAAACGACAAGAATGATGATGTTCTTGCAATATTTCAGAATGATTCTCCTTAATTTATCTTTAATTAGACAACACTGACCTGGCTCAGAAGCACACTGGGGCAGTATCCTTTCGATTTATACCAACAAGAGTCATAAGCAATCATAACATCTATACCAGATTACATTTTACATTTGTGGAAAAGGAATGACCAAGTGAAATCTTATGTTGTTGTACATGTTCTTTCCTTTTTCTAGATGTGACAGCATGTGGAACAGGAAGAAACTTGTATACAACTTTGAAAATTAGGCCTAAGATGGCTGTCTAAAGAGAAAGAGGTTGTTAAAGCTACATTTTGACACCTAAATAAATTACGTGATTCAGAAACTCTAATACTCCAGCAACTCTGAAGGAAGAGGTAATTCATCTTTCAGATGAGAAGCAAATTAAGGTCCTGATCATTTATGATTGTTAATGATCCTGAGCACAGTAATGTTATTTACCCGTATGTTCTAAATAAATTCCAGTACCATTAATCTTTCTGTGTACTTTTTTGCTTGTCTGAGTTTTTCTGACACTTTAAACTGAAAATATTATTCATCATTTATGGCCTGATTTTGAAAATCTGATGTATGCATCCAAAAGTACTCTCACTGATTTGATTTTAAACAACTCACATGCCAAAGATTTACAAGCACATGCTTGGAGCATCAGAATTGCAAACTTTTGTATAGTGTTACCATGTGGTTCTAAATAGAAGCATCTTTATATATAGGAAGAGACTACATAGTAATGGTAGATATTGTGATTGAGTACAATTGTAATCATCTGATTTTCAATTAGATGCAAAGCCCTATTATCTAAAGAGGATCAGAGTCTTATGACATCTATTAATTACAAAGATATTGCCTAGATTACTTCAAATAATTGCGTGTCTTCTATACCACTGAAATAACAGAAAGAGAGCTTTGCAAACAGTCATCTGGATTTCTTAGGCTGTGTGTTGCTTGAGGTGTTTATTATATGTGTATTGCTAAACAACAATGGATGTTTCCAGAAAGAGACAGTCCTTATAATGAAAAGCAGTGTTTGAATCAGTGGAGAGTTTTCTTGTTAAAGAGGGAAAAGTTTTTAACAAATATGCAATAGTCTTTTTCTCACATTCAAGCTACATTTTGTTGAACAAAAAGTGTATCATGACTGAGCTGTTATGAAGTTTTCCAGCTTTATTTTAAGACACCTACTTCTACTATAACATCTTTGACTACTTATAGAAAGCTCACTCCTCTAAGCACTTCTGATCTGTGGCATTTTAAATAATTAAATTGTCTTGGTTGTAGCGTAATTAAATTGTCTTGGTATTAATTAGATTCCCTTGAGGTTTTTTTTTTAATTACTTCGCAACTTGAGGAAAGCCTCATTGTGAACATTCATCTGAAATCTCTGATGTGTTTAATAATATAAGGCAAAAAATATCTGTCCGGGAAAATCTCATCAAATTATATTTGCAGGCATTCTTATATCTTTCAGTAAGGTTAATATCAAGCAGCTTACCTTGTCATCCAATTTCCGTGCACTGAATGAAAGTTCAACGTAGTCGTCATTGCCAGACAATTCCTCAGCAATCACCTAAATGGAGAGCTACATTTGAGTTTTGCTTGGTGTAATGACAGGGGAGAAAGATGCCATTTTCCAGTGTGAGGACTGTAGACTCCATTAGGAAACTGAACTTGGTACAAGTTAATATGTTTCTCTTTACAATCCAGAAGGACTAAGAGTGTTCAGTGAATCCCTTGCTCAGCTGATGGGTGGCACCTTGTTAAGCCTACAAACCTGAATCATCTTGTGTCATGCAACTATGCCTTGTCAATCACCTGCCAATGGACAGACATCAACATCCATCAGGGATCCCTTTCCTCTGACAGAGTACTTTTCCTCAGATAGGACAATGCCGAATTCCACAGTCTTACAGTGTCTCAGGGGACAAAAAAGCTATACAAGAGTTATATTATTTGGGTCTAAAGCTGAATTATTTTTATGCTGCTTCAGCATCATTTGGCAAGCTAAATGGAAAAAGGAGTGAAGTCACCTGTCAATAGTTGCCATGAAAGGCACATTTTACAGTAGGAGCCTTGTCCTGGTACAGTTTTTCCACAATACCTACATTGGCAAAACCATTTACTGAGTCAGAAGAAAGTAACACTAAAATAAATGTAGTGCGATTCTTTCAGATGGTCTGAGCTATGCTGATAATGATGGCAATCACTGTGCTGTGCAATGTTGTTAAAAAAAAGACAAACAAAAACAACCAAAAGAGCTTTCCTGACTAAGCTTCAGTGGAGAGAAGGTCTTAACCAAACTTGGGATATTTAACTTAAAATGTTCTTTGAACAAACCACATTATATTCTATTTGACAGTTATAAAATCTTTCCCAATTCTCCCCAGAGATTAAATCGCCCAGAAGAACCTATTTCCTGGATGTTTCATGCCCACAGACACACGTCAGCCATGTCAGCTCCCCGGCCAGGCTCAGACTGTCTCCACTACAGGGACTCCAGGTCTTTGGGGAGCCGCTGGGACGCCCCAACTATTCTTCAAACCAGCTGAAGGCTGCTGAGGTTAGAGCTGCAGTCAGAGCACTACGGTGTGGGATTTACTGACCACATACGCAGCTCCCAGTAATTACCCAGGCTGCCTACAGCCTCAGTAAACTTCAGTATCACTGGGATTTTTTTAAGACCTTTTTTCTTTCTTTGACAGAAACTACCTTAGACTCTGCATTGGGCACAACTGGCAGGGTTTTGGTAGCAGGGGCCGCAGCGGTGACCTGTGTGGGGAGGCTGTGAACTGCCCCATGCTGGTCACAGCTGGCTTGGCAGTGGGCAACACCTACCAACTGCACCCCAAAATATCAACCCATCAGAGATGCATATGGCACCTCTATATGAACATATTTAAGAAAGGGTGGCAGCTGCTCAAGGCAGGAGGCACAAAGGGAGGAGCTGTAGGAAGCCTGTGAGGCCACCTGAAAGAAGATCCAGGAGGAGGCATGGAGGAGACATTGCTGGGGACACAGGTGAGATGTACTCTTGGAAGGAGGTGCTCCATGCCAGAGAAGGTGCCTCTGAGGGCCTGCACCTGCAGGTAAGCCTATGCTGGAGCAGGGATGCCCCCAAAGGGATTGTGGCCTGCATGTAAGCCCATAGCAGAGCTGAAAAGATGAGTAAGAAACAAAAAGCAGCAAAAAGGAAGTCACTGTGCTCTGATCCTGCCCTCCTGTGCCATCCATCACCTCACCACAGGGACTGAGCATAACATGTAGTGAAGGCAAAGGGAGTGGGGACTATAAAGGGGGCAGGAGAGGTGTCTGAACTGAAGTTGAGCCCAGGGAAGGGGGATGAAAGGTGTTAAGGAGAGTTTATCATATTTGTTTCTCAATACCCGAAACAGTAATTAAAAGTTTACGTTAATTGGCAATGAATTAAATTAAGTACTGTTCCCTGAGTTGAGACTATTCTGGCTGTGACACCTCACAGCAGTGAACTGTGGTATTTCCTCATGCAAAACATTCCAGCAAAACATGCCAAGACAGGAACTTTCCAAATCTCATTAAAAACTCATAATTCAGTACGCTGAACAAGTTAGTATTTGTAACTTCCATACCTGACAGACACCTGGTATATCCCCAGGTCCAGAAATAATGATAAATAATCTATTGTGACTCACCCTGTTGAGAAAGCAAACTTTTCACACAATAATTTTTGTCTCAGTTCAGTTTTCTCCCATTCAAGTAAAGTCAGCTTTCTTTGGCTGGAAGCCAAAGCAAGTAACTAATGTCCATATTTCATGGTTATCACCCAGGGTTAGGCCAGCAGGGACTATTAACTCATTTTCTCTCATCTTCTGTATATCACAGAGCATTAATTTTTGCCAGAACACTCTACTAACAAGCCTAACAATTTTAGTCGAACTACAGCATTTGTGTTTTCACAAGACTAAATTCCTTTGTGTCCCTCATAGACTAGGAGGGTGGTTCAGAACACCACAAGGATGGATGAGATGAAGTATACCCAGATAATCCCAGTGGGCAAACCAAGTTATTTAGGGAGCAAAACTCACTCCTGATTCTATTCAGCCAAGTGAGCAGGGAATTCCTTTCCAACCTCAGACCAAATGCATACCTTATGCATTTAAGCAAATCCCTTCCCAGCCAAGCACCAAGGAAGACATCTAAGAAAAGAAATTCCCTGGGCTCTCAGAAAGCATTATTTCTCACAGTCTGCTGTCTCTTCTGTGGCTGAAGGCAGAAAAAAAATCCAAACAATCAAGCCAAAAGTAACCCATCTGGCTAATTGCACATCAAGGAAGAAAATCCTTCTCAACCCCACAAGGCAACAGAGCAGAGATAAATTAGAATAGTAGAATATTTTATTATAGTCTTTGTCTTAATGCAGAGCTGCAAATGTCACAAGCACGGTGCAGGTTCAGTGCAGACAAGCTTGATCTCCCAAACAAGCCAGCAAAAAGAAAGATGAAGAGAGGTAATACATTGATTTGCAGATTTCAAGATACACACGGGGCTATAACTATTTAGTCCATAATTGCATTACAACACAGCTAAAATACCTAATCTCATCAAACTTCTGCATTCGGTGTTGCTGGGTGCGTGCATGTGTGGGGTTTTTTTTAGAAACTGGAAAAAGCCCAAGGGCCAAGAAATATTAGAGTCCTTTGCGTGTCAGAGCGGGGCAAAATGAATTTCTGAAGGTTCTAGACCTTCAACTAAAAGTAATCAAGGAGCACAACTTTCTTGCTGTCATCAAAGTACCTTAAAAGTAGTAGCAGTAAATATTGTGGCTTTTGTACAAACCATACATTATTTGTTGCCATTTCCCTACAACAAACGTTTGGCAGAAACAGTAATCTGTTAAATAAATAATTTAAATACATTTCTCAATCAAATTCTGTGACTTAGCAGGATGCTTTTAGAGAGAATTAGTCACATAAGATGTTTCTAAATAACAGGAAAATAAGAGTGTATTTAAGACTGGCTTACTGTTATAGATGACTTCCCTGCTGTGTTCCCATGTTTGAGTAAGGACTTGGAGAGTTTCCTCTGAGAAACAATCTGCACAAAAATAAAAACAAAGAGAAAAAATTAGAATCTATAGTAAATACATGGCTTATTGTAATTTCATTCTTATGTTGCTGCTTTTTTTTTTTTTTTAATCAAGATAGTGTCTTAATCCACAATCAGAGTTAGCACAGTAAGACCACGACTGAGAAGGAAGGTTCCCCAGGAAGCCTGCAGACAGGATGCTGTGGAAGGACAAAGCAAGCCGACGGGATCAAGCAGAATGGGAAGAACATGATTCACTGAATTGAACAGAATAGGAGAAACCACATCTCATATTTTTCTCAACTATTGCCATAATTGCAACAGTGAGACAGAAGTAAGCCTTAAATGAACTTAAAAGACAGCAAATCAATCAGAGATGCCTCCAAACCGCACTTATTTTTTATAGGAAATTGAACTCTGTTTCAAAGAGAAGGCATTTATTTTATTTCAAAATATCAGCAACTCTAAACTCAGGACAAAAGCAAGCAATCTGCCCCACAGTTTTAATTCCAAAATTGTCTCCTTTGCTTACCACGTACCAGACCTCCCACAGAACTCAGCATTGCAAATGAACTTGTCCATTGACCGATTTATAAATGCACTTCAAATAAATGTTATCAGAGTGACACTGACAAAAGATGTTATTTCCTATATGAATAATAATTGAATTTCCCTAAACAGTCTTGAAATACTTAAAACTAGACCAGTAAAAATATTAGAAAAGGGAAAAAACCTTACAATAGTGCATAATCAGTAAACTACAGTGATGACCCAATATATAAGGTCCCTCCTCTCTGTAAAGTAAATGCTGTATTAATTTATTTATTTTTTAACTGAAGACTTCAAAATGTAGACAGATGTAGACATAACTCCAAACACAGCTTAGGAATCACAATTAACGTTATTTTTAATGTGACAATACTGCAGCACGACCATGCTGTGCAAATACTGAGCAAAAGATTCCTTCTGCACTAGAAAAAACAACCTCTGGATTTTGGATCTTACACTGGACACAGTCCTTTCCCACATCCAACATTATTTGGACAACTTCATCCGGATGGCTAATCTATAACACTTCAAATAAAATGATCCATAAATAGACAGAAGTATGAGTTGTAAAAGAGAGGCAATTATCAAGGGAAAAGAATGGCTCCAAGCCCTTCATTAGAGTCCTGGGCATCGTACACATTTTGGCAATAAACCACATCAGTAGCTAATGGCCAGAGCCAGAGAAGTGAGTAATGCAAAGTCACGGCCAGGCAAAAAAGCTGGTGTGAAATAGGAGTGAATAGGATGTAAATTTTAGCCTCACATCACCATGGGGAAACATGTTTGTCTTGCCCATCAATTTGCTGAATTGAACAGAGAAGAAAAAGTGGCACCTCAGATTATCCTCAGCTACTGTCATGATGGAGGCAGCAGGACAGAAGCAAGTTTTAAATGGGCTTTAAATGTGAGACAGGAGAGCCATCACGGGCCTGGATTACAGGCTTGCCACAGGGCTGGACAGGACATCCAGAATCACTTTCTCCAGTTTCTCAGTCCTAACGCAGGACCAGTTACACCTGAGTCAGCTATAGCTGACAGACGTGTGTCTAATCAGTTCTTAAAGATATCCAAAGGGAAACACTCTTCCCTGGCAATTTATTATGGTATTCATTATCCTTACTGTGAATATATTTTCCTAACAGCTAACCCAATTCTCTGCAGTTTAAGCCCATTATTTCTGTCTAATGAACTGTGAATAAATAAGACAATATTTTTCCCTTCCTCTTTCAGCAATCTTTGTATCTGAAGACTAGTACCAACTCTCCACAATCTTCTTTAGACTGCAGAATCCAAGTTTGTCCTATCTTTCCTTTTTGACCAAGTTTTCCAGCACTCAAACCATTCTCACTGCTCTCTGCTGAGCCCTCACAGACCGGCCCATATCCTACTCTTAGAATAGTGCTCAAAATTGGACATAATACTCCAGATCCTTCCTACGCAAGAAGAGCTTCTCATGTCTTGCAAGCTGTGCTGCTGATACACTCCAGAATTGCATTTGATTTAAGAACACTTTGCTACTGTTAACTAATGTTCATTTTACGACCATTTCAGATCGTCAGCTGTTTCTTACCCTGCATTTTTGCAGCTGGCTATTACTTCAGTGAATAATTTAACACTCATTCTTTCTGACTGCCTTCCACAAACCAGCCTGCTTTCATCATCTCACTCACTTTTCCAAATTAACTTTTGGATTTCACCACTAGTATTGATCAGTGGCAACAACAGACAGGAGTACAGGTAAGATGATAAGTACTGCCAGGATTTAGATGTCCTTTTTTTTTTCTCCTAGGATCTTTGAAAGATTGTTTGCTGTGACCCTTGAAGTTACTGAAGTGGCTCAGCCCCAGCCGGTAGCTGATCACGGATGAACATCTGCTGGAGGGCAGTGACGTGGTTCAGCCCCAGCCGGCAGCCAAGTGCCACGCGCCGCTCGCTCACCCCTGCCCCGGCAGGATGGGGAGGAGAACGGCAAATAAACAACGGCAAAGCCTCGAGGGTTGGGATAAGGGCAGGTTACTGGGACAGCAAGGGAGAGGGAAACAATCAACAACAGTGCTGATAACAGATAGTAACAATGGGTGATAACACAGAACGATTTGCTGATCCCACAACCTCACACTCAGCCCCTCCCGGAATATGGTGAGCATGACATTACATGGCATGGAATAGCCCCCGGCCAGCTTGGCTCACCTGTCCTGGCTCCCTGTGAAATTAACTCTATCCTCGCCAGGACCAGGACAGTTACCCATCCCTCTGTTTTCTTGCCAGCTAAACAGGTTCAAGTAAAAATCTTTATGCTCCTGTGAACTATGAGGCACAATTTAAAAAACCTTGTTTGAGATTCTCACATGAGAGCTAATGCAGAAATACAACAAATTATTCTTAATATATCATTAAACTATGGGTTCTGTACCAACCAGTCAATGAATTATGGCAGCTGGGGAGCAAGGACCATTTATCTCTATGACCTCTCCTCCTTCCCTGAGATGCGCAGACAAGTTTATAAAATAGGTTAAGCTCTTCCAAAGAAAGCTGTGGGTATTGTGCACCAGAAACCTTTTCTGATGTTACATATATATACCCCTAGTATGAGACAGAACTTGGATGGGGACCTGTCCTTCAGCTAGCCTCCTTTAGAAACAGCAGGACTTCTCCCCCTGAAATAGTCAAATTCCTACAGCTCTCTTTGGAGCTTTGGAAAGTGTCCCAGCTTTCAAGAGGCATCAGGCAGACAGAAACCTGAAGCTTGGGAGCTCCCATGCAGGTGGCAGATAGATGGCTTGCAGTTGCTGAGAAGATAATTTATTCTGACATTCCCATTAGTAGATCACATAAATAATACTTGGTCACCAAGCCATTGGCATCGTTGTGACACAGTAAGCGCTATGCATATGTAAATATGTGTATTTGGGTGCAACCGTTTACCAGTTGTTAATTAAGTGGCCAGTAAAATGAATCTTCCATCTGGCAACAATGTGCCAACATCATTGCCTCAAATTGTAATTAGTGACTTAGGATCAGCAGGCTATCATTGCAATAACTGTCAAGGAATCTATTTTCCTTAGCAGTAAATTGTCCTTTTTGTTCATACACTGTACAAAAAGCAGATCTCATTGGTTAAAAGAACCACTTCTAAAGAAGCTGCCATCAATTATATACTGTATTTATTGTTTATGTATCAGTGTAAATCATCTTCTGAACATCATCATAAAAAGCGTTTGCTGACCTCATTGCCAGACAGCAAGTCCTAAACAATGATAACTCGAGGGCCTAGAAAGCATTTGTCTAAGTTCAGAGTCACAGACATGGCTGAACTTGCAAAATGGCTTACAAGAAGGTAATTAACTACAAGTCTTCCATTTGTCAGGAGTCTTTGGTTTGACTCCTATTTCAAAAACTTGCAATTTAAAACTTCAACAGCAGAGAAAAAGGTGTTTTTTCCAAAACAGATGTGAAGAAGTGCAGAAAGTAAATGTCTCTCTCCCTTCTAAAACACAGATGACAGAATGCAGTTTAGCCCTAATAAACCTCATTACATTTCCAGAACATGTTTTTCCATGAATTTTTTATTAGAAGTATGACCTGCAAGTGAACAAATGGATGTAGAAACCTCAGAGATTTAAGAGGTGAGGCTAAGAGAGACTTAGGAAGTGAAGTTTCTTTGCAGCTACAGCCGGTGCTGCTCAGTTCTGGTCTGAGACAGCCACGTGTCCAGCAATACGCATCATACTGAATACATCTGCAAGAGGTGGGAATAGGAACAGAACATAAAAGCACTGCTGTTTCACAGAGGGAGGCTATGCACATGAAGTGATTCCTATTTCTTAAATATGCAATCACCTCAACAGAACATCATCTCGACTGGATTTTTGGTTTGTGGTGCTAAGGGATATCAGCTCCATGGTAAGATAGGGGTGGGAAATTCCCTTGAAGATGATCTTAATTTGCCTTATTACATACAAGCCCAAACAGGCTAAGGACAGATCTGAACAGATGCTCTATATTGCTGTAATTAAATCTGGAGTCACATGTTGCCATTTGATCTTATTTCCAATTCAAAAGATATAAAAGGTGCTTTGTGGGGTTTTTTTTGTTTTAAAAGTATGAACAGATATATTTGGATAAATATTTGGATATTTACAACACTTTGGATAAAAGCACTGAAGCACTGACACCAGCTGTGTACAGTGCATTGCTCAGCAGTCACTCAGAGAGAAGGACTCTGATGAAGGTTTGCTCTCTCCCGTGTCCGAGTCGTGACTAATCAGCACTGCCTAAGATGAGCTGTGAAACATAATGACCCATTTTACCTGTCTTGTGTAAGAACCTTTTAAAATATATTTCTCTATGTGGTTCTTCCTTAACTAAATACAGGGATAACTTTCAATAATATCATATGGAATTCCCAATACTTATAAATCAAACTAATGAGAAAAATTCAGTATGGCTTTTTAACCTAG